CCGCCAAAGACTCAGCCCACCTTGCCTGTCGTCGGTTAAGAACTTTAGTTGTAGAGAAGTACTCTAAGTTCTTGTGATCCGTATAGACAAGAACCGTTCGGCTAGGTCCCTCAAGGTAGTGACGCCATTGCTTAAAGGCTGACACAATTCCTAGCATCTCCTTATCCCAGACGTCGTAGTTGAGTTCCGCTGGGTTAAGCTTTCGAGAATAAAAGGCAACAGGGTGAGTCTTTCCGTCAATAACCTGGGATAGAATTGCGGCAATAGCAAAATCACTTGCGTCCGTTTCCACGATAGTCTGGCGATCTGGAGAGAAATGTACCAAGATCGGCGCAGACGTAAACAGGGTTTTAAGTTTTTCGAAGGCTGCTTGGGCCGTCATAGACCAGACAAAGTTCTTAGCATCACCCCTGAGACAATCGGTAATGGGTTTACAGACCCCGGAGAAATTGTGGATAAACCTTCTGTAGAAGTTGGCAAAGCCCATGAAGATCTGTACTTCCTTAACGCTGCGCGGGGCTTGCCAATTCGTAACAGACATGACCTTATCCAGTGCCATGGTGACGCCTGCTGGGGCAAGGATGTATCCAAGGAACTCGATTTCGGTGAGCTCGAAGAACGATTTCTTCGGGTTGGCGACCAGGTTGTATTCTTGTAGCCTGCTAAGTACTTTGCCGACCAGTTCCCTGTGTTCCACTCGAGACTTGCTATATATTAGGATATCATCAAGATATACTACTACCCCTTGATCCAAGAATTCCCTCAGCGCATCATTCATCATATTCTGGAAGGTCGCCGGCGCATTTGCCAGCCCAAAAGGCATGACGAGGTACTCAAAATGCCCGTACCGCGTACGGAATGCTGTCTTCCACTCGTCGCCGTTTTTGATCCTAATGAGGTTGTAACCTTCCTTCAGGTCAATCTTCGAGAAGATAACCGCGCCTGCCACTCGATCTCGTAGTTCGTCCATAAGTGGTAACGGATACCTGTTCTTAATGGACACGCGGTTAAGTCCACGGTAGTCAACGCAAAGTCGTAGACTACCGTCCTTCTTCTTCACAAATAGGATTGGGGCTCCTGCCGGGGATTTGCTTGGCCTAATCTTTCCCAGTCGCAACATTTTGTCCAGGTACTCCCGAAGCACCTTCAGCTCGACTTCGGATAGGGAGTAGACGGGTCCCCATGGTGGCTGTTTACCTGGTTCAAGATCTATCGCATGGTCGTAGGATCGATGCGGTGGTAGTTTGTCGGCTTCCGATGGTAGGAAGACTTTAAGGAACCCATGGAGCCAAGAGGGAAGAGTTTCGCGGAGGTTGACCGATTCATCTTCCAGAAGACAAATACTACCGATGAATTGGGTCTCCGGATCGTCTAGTATACCCTCGTCCATTTCTATTTGAGGTTCCTTGTCAGTGAAGCATCGACTCTTGCAATTTTCTCCATCGTAGGAAACTTCCCCATTTAGTCCTATAACCGGCTTATGTTCTTTCAACCACCAGTTCGGTAGTATTGCATCGATGCCAAGTGGGAGAGGGGCGATCTCGAATGACAACTGTGTTTGATGCCCCCTTGACATTATAATTAATGGTTGTGTAAAGGCGTGTCCCGTGCCCTTCATAACTTCTCCCGTAAATCCAAATACCCGGGCCGGGACGTCTCGTTTCACCTTCGGGACCTCAAAACTATCAACAAACACAGCAGACAAAACAGGACCAGTTGCACCAGTATCCAACAACACCTTACAAGGTAAACATTTTTCCGCAAAACAAAGGAACTGATTAACGATAGGTCGAGGACCATGAATAGGTTCCTCCAAAATTTTCTGTTTTTTCTCCGGTTGGGACGCTCTCCCTTCCTGCCTTTTTCTTTTCATATTTTTTTTGTTGTTTTCCGTCAGTGATAACATAGCAATCTGGGGATACTCCTGACCTGACTCATCAGAGTCCCCTTTTAAAAATCCTCATCGAAATCCATCTCAGATTCCGATCCGCGTTCTCGCACGAACGCTTGCCCACTGGTGTACTCCGCAGCAGCCGTCGCAGCCGGCTTCTTAGCACGGTGTCTCATTCGCTTTCTTTGAGGTTGGGGTTCCGGTGGTTCCATATCGTGGTCGCCATCGTCATCGCGGATACGCTTTCGGGAGAAGGAGGAGATAGATGCACTGCTATTAGCATCTGAACGACACCATTTCCAAAGATGACCCTTTCGGCCACATCGCACACAGGCTCCATCGGTCTTTCGCTGTTCTCGGACCGGCTGTGGAACTCCTTTGGTGGCTTCGTCGTAGTCGTGGTATATTGGCTTGTTCCCCGACTTGTTCTTGCTGGTGCTCTTCTTATCTTGCCCTTTTTCCTTCTCCTCGGTCTGAGCCCTTCCCTTGATCTTAAACCCCTTCTCCTTCTGCCGCGAGTTCCCACCATTATTCGATTCCCTTCCTCTCGACTCTGCTTTCCCCAACATCTTCATCTGTTCCTGATAAGATTCATGAGCCTTGCCGGCTCGTTCCAACTGTTGGATGTACTCGGAGTCGTCCTCGGTTGGATCGAAACGTGAGTGGCGCTCCCGGATTTCATTTGGTAGCCCTTGGAGCAGGGCGGCGCGATAGGATGCTCCTTTCATCTGAGCATGCTGGTTCATGATCTCCATTCTCGTCAGGTAGTCTCCGATGTTAGCAGAGTACTTAAACTGCTGCATCTTCATCGCGTTCTCCATAGCCTCTTGAGTGCTTAAGAAACGTTTCCTAATCTCCTGACGGAATCGAGTCCAAGTAGCGTAGTCCGCGGCTGCCGGTCCTAGCATCTTGGTCTCGATGTACTCCATAAACCATTCCTTTGCCAACCCACACGTATACGTTCCAGCGAACAGTACCTTGTTTCTGTCCGTTCGGAACTTCTTGGGCTTCTGCTCGAAGTAGATCTCGCATTCCATGAGCCAATGCCGCAGATTATGCTTCCTGGCATTATCGAACTCAAAGGGTATTTTGGCGAGCGAATCTACCATATCGTCATCTTCAGGCGGCGCCGAATTCCGGTTCCCGCCTCGGTTCCTTCTCCAATTCTTCCGACCGTACGACCATTCACTGTTATCGTCGTCATCGTCGTCGGAAGGTTCTGGGTCTCCCCCAACGTTTCCTCTTGGTGGGTTCTGGGGAGGTTGATTTCCACCGTTCCCGCCGACGGGGGCAGCTCCCACTGGTTTCTTACCACTATTTCCCTGCACTGGACCGGCATCCTCTGGTTGCCTGCCTCCATTTCCTCCTACGGGACCAGCATTTCCTCCTACTGGGCCAGCGTTTCCTCCTACTGGGCCAGCATTTTCGGGGTTCTTGCCATTACCAACAGGAACCGTTTGGGGTGCAGTAGGGTCCAGGGGAATGCTCACCATGGAAGGTGCTACCGACATATGTTGTCGTAGACGTTCCTCCATCTCGGCTATTCGTTGGTTTCTTACATCATCAGACTGCTTGAATTGTGCCAACAGTTCCCGCTGTTCCCTTTTTTCCTGCTCTCGCTCTTCTCTTGCAAGTCTCAGCTGCCGTTCCGCCTCCAACAGTTGGTTCTGGGTAATTCGATGGTTACGGTCCAGTACCTCGTGGTCGGCGGCTCGTGCTGCTTCGTGTTCTTGTTGGACATGGGAGACGAGCTCAAAGAGTGATTCGAGATGTTGCTTCTGGGCGATGGCTTCTTGCCGTACTTTCTTATCCAGAACCTGCCCACTCCCCTGCACTTGTTCCTGGAGGTTTTGTAGCTGCTGCCAAACGGCCTGTCCAGCTGCACCAAGATACCTCATTTGTGCCTCATGGGTATCCAAAAACTCCTGCATGGACCTCGTAAACTGGGCTTGAGCAGAGTTTCTCTTCGTCGACCTAGTGTGTGTAGAGGGTCCTCCCTGGAGTAGGGGATCTGGGCTAGCAGCCCTTGATATCACCATAGAATCTTCTCCTCCGGCCTCCTCAGTTACGGCCGAGGTATCTATGAAGTAATTGTCCCTTCGGCCAGCCATTGTGGTAAGGGATAATGATGATAGTTCTTCTTTTTTGAGGTGACTTCGTTACTCCAAGTGAACTTGTGAGTAACAATATACTGTGAGGGATGCGTACCAGACCACAAGAGTACACTACGCAGAGCTCAGAGTTCGGCTAACAGCTACAAAGGTAGAAGTCTCCAAGGTCTCTTCAGTCAACGTCGAGTATGATTCTCCTTGATCCGATACGGGCCCCGCGAGCTACGTTATCAACAAAGATTCACTAGAGTTAGCGTTTTGATGTTCGACCGTCTTCGACGTAATAGTTCAGGTAGAGTTCGAAGTCACGATAGAGTAGAGTAATTCCAAAGTATAGTCAAATAAAGTTGTAACTCGCGTATCAACGATTTATATTGTTAAGACTCTGATTTCGCCGATGATGGTTTGGCTAGTCAGTGAATGACACAGTATTTATATCCCTCGCTTATGTCTCGAGGACCCAGTCTACTAATAATACAGAATACACTCGGGGCATGCCCGAGACCCTGAAAAACAACCAAGAACATTTAACTCCTAAGTCCGTAACCCAAACTCCTAAATCCGCTGAAACCCCTCAACCTATTTATCCACTCTAATGCACGTTTCCCTGTCGATGTTTCTTCTCCATCGGCCGTCTGGTGGATAATCGTCAGCGTCGGCTATTCGGAGGTCTCGGGCGGCAAGGCTACCTACTCAGGCCTCTTCCCACATCGCTTTCCCACATAGCAGAGTCCTCTCATGCCCACAGGTACCGCCGATAGGTACTCGGTCGGCTGGCAGCTTGCGCCGATTCGCTCCGAGCGGTCCGATCTTCGATCCGATTGATTCCAGCTGTCCCTCATATATCCACCGGTACCAAAACACTCCCCTCCGGCGGTTTGACGCTCCGGGGGTTATTATTGGGGTCGAAAACGTGTTTTTTATGACTCTGGGTTTTTCAGTCGTAATTTGGTCGCACCACACTCCGCGAGTGTGGTCAAGAGTTGATATTAGCGTACAGAGGGTATTGGGGTATCTACTAGCCTTTCTCTCACTCCCGTAAATGCTTGGCATGCCCGTAACACCAGCATTTTCGGGTTTCTTGCCATTGCCAACAGGAACCGTTTGGGGTGCATTAGGGTCCAAGGGGATGCTCACCATGGAGGGTGCTACTGACATATGTTGTCGTAGTCGTTCCTCCATCTCGGCTATTCGTTGGTTTCTTACGTCATCGGACTGCTTGAATTGCTCCAACAGTTCCCGCTGTTCCCTTTTCTCCTGCTCTCGTTCTTCTCTTGCCACTCTCAGCTGTCGTTCCGCCTCCAGCAGTTGGTTCTGGGTAATCCGATGGTTACGGTCCAGAACCTCGTGGTCGGCGGCTCGTGCGGCTTCCTGTACTTGCCGAACATTTTCGACGAGCTCAAAGAGCGATTCGAGATGTTGCTTCTGGGCGATGGCTTCTTGCCGTACTTTCTTGTCCAGGACTTGCCAGCCCCCTTGCACTTGTTCCTGGAGGTTTTGTAGCTGCTGCCACATGGCCTGTCCAGCTGTACCAAGATACCTCATTTGTGCCTCATGGGTATCCAAAAACTCCTGCATATTCCTCGTAAACTGGGCTTGAGCAGAGCGTTTGCTTGATTGCCTAGTTTGTGTAGAGGGTCCTCCCTGGAGTAGGGGATCTGGGCTAGCAGCCCTTGATATTACCATAGAATCTTCCCCGGCCTCCTCAGTTACGGCCGAGTTATCTATGAAATAATTATCCCTTCGGGTAGTCATTGTGATAGGGATAATGATGATAGTTTCTTCTTTTTGAGGTGACTTCGTTACTCCAAGTGAACTTGTGAGTAACAATATACTGTGAGGGATGCGTACCAGATCACAAGAGTACACTTCGCAGAGCTCAGAGTTCGGCTAACAGCTACAAAGGTAGAAGTCTCCAAGGTCTCTTCAGTCAACGTCGAGTATAATTCTCCTTGATCCGATACGGGCCCCGCGAGCTACGTTATCAACAAAGATTCACTAGAGTTAGCGGATGGTATTCGACCGTCTTCGACGTAATAGTTCAGGTAGAGTGCGAAGTCACAATAGAGTAAAGTATTTCCAAAAGTATCGTCAAATAAAGTTGTAACTCGCGTATCAACGATTTATATTGTTAAGACTCTGATTTCGCCGATAATGGTTTGGCTAGTCAGTGAATGACACGGTATTTATATCCCTCACTTATGTCTCGAGGACCCAGTCTACTAATAATACAGAATACACTCGGGGCCTGCCCGAGACCCTGAAAAACAACCAAAAACATTTAACTCCTAAATCCGTAACCCAAACTCCTAAACCCGCTAAAACCCCTCAACCTATTTACCCACTCTAATGCAGGTTTCCCTGTCGATGTTTCCTCTCCATCGGCCGTCTGGTGGATAATCGTCAGCGCCGGCTACTTGTAGGTCTCGGACGACAAGGCTACCTACTCAGGCCTCTTCCCACATCGCTTTCCCAAATAGCAGAGTCCTCTCATGCCCATAGGTACCGCCGATAGGTACTCGGTCGGCTGGTAGCTTGCGCCGATTCGCTCCGAGTGGTCCGATCTTCGATCCGATTGCTTCCAGCTGTCCCTCATATATCCACCGGTACCAAAACACTCCCCTCCGGCGGTTTGACGCTCCGGGGGTTATTATTGGGGTCGAAAACGTGTTTTTTATGACTCCGTATTTTGGTCGTATTTTGGTCGCACCACACCCCGCGGGTGCGGTCCAGAGTTGACGTTAGCGTGCAGAGGGTATTGGGGTATCTACTAGCCTTTTCTCATAAATGCTTGGCATGCCCGTAACACAACCGCAACAACCGCAGCAACCGCAACAACCGCAACAACAGCAACAACAGCAACAACAGCGAAAACCACAACAACCGCAAGGACAGAGAATGCCCCCTCCAGCGGTCCCACAAACAGTTCCCCAAGCAGCGCCACAGGCAGCTCCTCAGGCCCCCCCACCCGCACCCCCCCAACAAGCCCCACCTCGTGGATGGAAGGCAGGCACCTGGGCCGCCGTGGCCTCGGCACCCGGTCCTGCCCAAGGAAACTTCCAGGTCATCGAGAGGAAAAAGAATTCCGCAAAGCCAAAAGCGGACCCCCTCTTCAAACCAGAGTACACAAAAATCAACAGGGAGATCATTGTTGAAACTACTGCCCCATCCGACGTTAACCCCTCCGAGATCAGGACCCTCGTTAAAGCAAGAATTCAGGACGAGTCCTGCCATTTCATCTCGGCAAGAAGAACGCCCAAGGACAACTTCATCCTGGAAACAAAATTCGTCACCCCTGCAACAAAGGCAATGGAATATGCCAAAGAAATTGAGGAGGCCCTCCTCACCCTACAGGTACCGGTCGCTGTCATCCGCGCAAACTCAAAATGGTCAAAGTTTCTCCTCCATGGAATCCCTACAACGGTCGGGGAGGGCATTGAGGCGGGACAATTGGTAGCATCCGAAATCAGAAGCAACTATGGAGAGAACTTCCAACTTGCCCAGGTTCCCCGCTGGATCTCCAGGGCAGAAACTCGAATGGAAAAAACCCACTCATCAATGGTCATCGCGCTCCCAGGACAAATTACAATGGAAACACTAGGAGTTAAATTTCTATCTCTCTTCAACCGAAGCTGCCACATCGAGGCCTTCCTCCCGACCTTCCCAGACACCCAGTGTGCGAAGTGCCTCGAATACGGCCACCGCCAGGAGAAATGCAAAAACAATGGAAGATGCGGTCACTGTGCCGGAGATCATCTCACCAGCTTCCACCCATGCAATCAATGCCAGGGAGGATATAGATGCACCCACACCCCAATCAGATGTCTGAACTGTAAAGGAATCCATAAGGCCTCCGACCCAGCATGCCCCGAAAGAGTTAAACGCCGATTCCTCAATAAAGGAAAGGAAAACGCCCCACCCGCTCAAGACCCACCGGCCGCACCCGTCCAAGAGTTGCTTCCAATAGTCCAAGTACCAGCCACCGCCCTAGTTGGAGCCACACCCGTTCCCGAAGACGACCAACCCATGACAAATAATGCTTAGGCCTCGAACAACCGCGCTCGCACACCAACTTAACTGTGCACGGAGCGAACTAATCACCAAGGCGGCGGTGGAAGAAGCAGAAACAGACTCGAGCATTTATTTCCTACTATTACAAGAACCATGGACCTCAACAGAGGGATATCCACCAGAATCAAATCTTTTTTACCTTTTTACAGCCAGCAATATCAATACGAAATGCGCAACATATGTCCGCAAACATGCCAACCTCAAACCAAAACACCACTACACACACGATAATTTCATAGTATCGATTACGGTAGAAATCCAGAACAAGAAAACCCAAATCCTAAACATATACTCCCCAGGCCGAAGTGGCCCCTTCGCTCAAATAGCAAGTACAATCCAAACCCTTGATAACTGTCTAGTAATGGGAGACTTCAACTGCCACCATTAAATGTGGTACGGAGTAAATGCACATGAATATAGAAACAACATCCGGGCAGACCGCGTCAACGGCGCACGGTTAAAACGATGGATAACCCGACAGAAACTGACCCTCCTGAACGAACCAGGCATCTTTACGCACTTCCCCAGAGACAGAGGGAAAAGGCCCACGACCATCGACCTTGCATTTGTAAAAGGCCCAACACTTGACCACAACCTACGATGGAGCACTGAACCCTATGGAGCGGGCTCAGACCACGGGAGAACCTCCGTCCACCTACACCTGGAAAAACCACCTTTCGTACCAAGACGAATGTGGCGACAAACAGACTGGAAGCTATTGGAGAACCACATGTCAAACATTTCCATCCCTGCAGAGGCATGGGAAACCAAGGAACATACGGAACAAACTGTCGATTTCTTCCTAGAACTGGTCAGGTCAACAGTCAGCATAGTAACACCACTCTCGAAGGAGGGGGTAAGAGCCAACTCCTGGTGGTCAGATGAGATGAAACAAATGAAGGCAAGGGTAAACGCAGCAGAAAGGAAGGCGAGAAATACAAGGAAACCCAATCACGTGGAGGAACACCGGAAGGCTTGCAGAGAATGGACAGTCATGATCCGGAAAGCAAAAGCGGACCAGCGGGAAAAGACGATGAACGAGGCGAAAGGTAGTGAAGTCTGGAGAGTCCTAAGTGCAGGAAGGAGACGAGACACAATCATACCAACCATACAAGGTGAAGAAACGTTTGCGGGGAAGTGCCAAGCTCTAAGAGCCCAACTTTTCCCCTCGAAACGGACGTCCCCCGACCATCCCCCCTTGAACATTAGACCCCCCTCTTTTGACCTTAGCAACACCTTCGACACAGTCACCCCCGAAGAACTTAACAAAGCAATCGACTCCTGTCCAGCGCACTCGGTGACCGGCCCGGATGGCATCCCTTATACCTTTATTAAAGCAATAGTCAAAGCAAACACAACTCTAATCCAAGACATGTTCTCCGCTATGCTCCGGCACGGTGTACACCCATTGGAATGGAAAATAGCTAAGTGTATCCCAATCCCTAAACCCGGTAAAGCAAATTATCATGAAGCAAAAGCCTACCGGCCCATTTCCCTTCTACAATGCTTCAGCAAAATCCTGGAGAAGATAGTGGCCCAAAGACTCTGCACCGCTGGAGAAATCCTAGGCACACTCTCAGCAAACCAATTCGGAGGAAGACCAACCATCTCGGCAATCGACGCCCTCCTGAGAACCTTGACACCAATACAACAAAACCTACTACTGAAAAACAGCACCGGAATCGCCCGGCGAGATAGACCAGCGATCCTAACCAACGACATCCAAGGAGCATTCAATTGTGTCGATCACCTACTCCTCGCGGAAATCATGCACCAACAAAAATTCCCCACCTATCTGACAGAATGGTGCAAGGAATTCAACACCGGCAGAAAACTACAGTTCCAATTCAACCATGAGCTAGAGGAACCACAGCCCTATGATTCTGGAGTGCCGCAAGGTAGCCCCATGTCTCCGGTACTATTCATGATCTATGCCGGAGTAATTCTAGACCCAACTAGCAGCCCGAAAGAGATGGACACAACTTATATACATGACGATGCGCTGGTGCAAATATCCAAAACACCAGGCTTTACAATTAAGAGAATGGAGGAACGAATGAGAGAAAGACTAATTAAAGCTGAGCCACTCCAAATCAAATACGACCCGGATAAATCCGATCTGATCTTCTTCCGGCCCACCACATCATCCACACAACAACCACGACTTCCAGTCAAAGTCAACAACATCAATATATATCCCAAAGAGAGGCTGAAATACGTAGGAGTCTGGATAGATCCGACCCTCTCCTTCCGGCCCCATATCGAAGCAGAAATCGCAAAAGGCCTAAAAGCCCTCCACCAAATCCGAAACACCGCCCGCCTGCCAGGGATAACAGTCAAGACAGTTCATCACCTAATAACACAAGGCTTCCTTCCAAGCCTGCTCTACGGATCTGAGGCTTGGTGGACTGGCGCAGACCATATCATTAGATCGCTCGAACCACTATACAATGAAGCTGCCCGGATCATCACGGGCCTACCTCGATGGACCAAGAGAGCTAAACTCCTCCGAGAAGCAGGCCTACCCCCCCTAGAACACCTCCTAACTTATCGCTCAAGAAAGTACGGAACCAGAATACTCTGCACCGAGGCAACCCACCCCAACAATGAATCCCTGATCGAGCTCCTCCCATACAGAGAAGCAAACATCAAAGGGACAGGCCTACACCGAATCGCCTCCCTCCTACTCCCATATCAAACCCCCGGAAATGCGAGAGACAAGTGGAATCAAAACAAACTACTACGCGACCACCTGTTGGAAGAATGGAATACACAACCAATACCGGACTACTATCACCGGGGGGATTTCCGCCCCCCTTCCAAGATTGCGAAACTCACCCTAACGGAAGCAAAAAAAGTTTTTCGAATCCGGTGCCAAACTACCCGAATCGATAAACACGCGGTACACACAGAACCCGAACCATGCCAGTGTGGTATGGAAAACTCAGCGAAACATACACTTATGGAATGCCCAGCGTGGGCTCGAATCCGCGCCCCCCTGATAGAGAAGATCCCCGGAGCGATGACCTGGGAAAACTGGATGTTTACAAACCTGAAAACGGACCTTATCTTACAATTTGCAAAAAATTCTCAACTCTCGAAGTGGTACGAGTCGGCGGAAGCGGAGGTGGACCTAGAAGAGGGGATGGAAGGAAATGATTAGGGACGGGATTAGGAAGGGTGGTTTCCTTTTTACCTTTTTAACTTTGGTTTTACTTTGTTTTGATGGATCCAGCGCCCGAGTTCGCTGAGATATGTTATTTTTCCTTGTTGTTGGGTTGTTTCTGGTTGAGCGTTGTTCTAGAAATTCCTTACTTTTGTTTGTGTTCGTTCGTGTTCGCTTCTGCTCTTGTTGGCGTGTCTGTTTGTGTTTGTTGTTTTCTTTACTTTCCTTTTCTTTTCCTTCGTTCTTTTTGTTCGGTTTGTGTTTTAGGCGGTTGGGTCGGCGTGCGATAAGTCTTGTACTTCAAAGCAATATAAGTTTCTTCTTCTTCTTCTGTATTCTCCTTGCTCGCTAAGGCTCGCAAAACTTCCTGACAATAAACCTCGCTTCAAAAACATTTTATTTTTTATTCCTCTCGGTTTACCCTGGGATATACCAGGCTGAGCCACTTCGCCCCCGATCGCACGGTCGCGTTTTGTTGTTCCAAGCGAAAGAAACCTACGAAAACTGGCTTCTAGCGAAGAATTCTCCAGCCTTGACCTCCCGAAAGGAAGGAAAAGAAACCTATCTGAAACATCACTCTACGCCGCCAGAAGAACTGGACATTCAGTTATGTCGCAGCAAGCTTCGCTCCAGTCCTTCTTCACCCAGTCTTCCCAGCAAGGGACAGCTCCCCCACAGAATAGGAACACCCAGGACCCCAACCCAACCCCATCCGGAACTCAGGAACAGGAGTTTTCCTCGACCTTTGCAAAAGAATCTGACTACAACGACCCCTACCAACCGAGCATCGACTATCTCTACCCGAGTACTGTCCCCCAAACCACTCACACCCAGACAGACTTAAACTACATTACCTGGGCCATCAGAGATGCTACCAGCCGGATCTGCCCACCCTCCGACAGGATTGAATACCTCGAAGAGCAATCGATTACTCTCCGGAGAACAGTGGACACACTGAAACATCAAATCGAGGCGCAGACAAACATGATCACCAATATGCATTCGGCGATTCATGCCCTCCTCAACAAACAACCACAACCGCACCAACCGCAGCAACCGCAACAACCGCAACAACACCAACAACAGCAACAACAGCGAAAACCACAACAACCGCAGGGACAGAGAATGCCCCCTCCAGCGGCCCCCCAAACAGTTCCCCAAGCAGCGCCACAGGCACCTCCTCAGGCCCCCCCACCCGCACCCCTCCAACAAGCCCCACCCCGTGGATGGAAGGCAGGCACCTGGGCCGCCGTGGCCTCGGCACCCGGTCCTGCTCAAGGAAATTTCCAGGTTGTCGAGAGAAGAAAGAAGTCCGCAAAGCCAAAAGCGGACCCCCTCTTCAAAGCAGAGTACACCAAAATCAACAGGGAGATCATTGTTGAAACTACTGCCCCATCCGACGTCAACCCCTCCGAGATCAGGACCCTCGTCAATGCAAGAATCCAAGACGAGTCCTGCCATTTCATCTCAGCAAGAAGAACACCCAAGGACAACTTCATCTTGGAAACAAATTTCGTTACCCCTGCAACAAAGGCAATGGAATATGCCAAAGAAATTGAGGAGGCTCTCCTCACCCTACAGGTACCGGTCGCCGTCATCCGCGCAAACTCTAAATGGTCAAAGTTTCTCCTCCATGGAATCCCCACAACCGTCGGGGAGGGCATCGAGGCAGGACAATTGGTAGCATCCGAAATCAGAAGCAACTATGGAGAGAACTTCCAACTTGCTCAGGTTCCCCGCTGGATCTCCAGAGCAGAGACTCGAATGGAGAAAACCCACTCATCAATGGTCATCGCGCTCCCAGGACAAATTACAATGGAAACACTAGGAGTGAAATTCCTATCTCTCTTCAACCGAAGCTGCCATATCGAGGCCTTCCTCCCAACCTTCCCGGACACCCAGTGTGCGAAGTGCCTCGAATACGGCCACCGCCAGGAGAAATGCAAAAACAATGGAAGATGCGGTCACTGTGCCGGAGATCATCTCACCAGCTTCCACCCATGCAATCAATGCCAGGGAGGATATAGATGCACCCACACCCCAATCAGATGCCTGAACTGTAAAGGAGCTCATAAGGCCACTGACCCAGCATGCCCCGAGAGGGCCAAACGCCGATTCCTCAAAGGGAAGGAAAATGCCCCACCCGCTCAAGACCTACCGGCCGCACCCGTCCAAGAGTTGCTTCCAATAGTTCAGGTACCAGCCACCGCCCCGGTCGGAGCCACACCCGTTCCCGAAGACGACCAACACATGACAAATAATGCTTAGGCCCCGAACCACCGCGCTTGCACACCAACTCAATTGTGCACGGAGCGAACTTATTACCAAGGCGGCGGTAGAAGAAGCGGAAATAGACTCTAGTATTTATTTCCTATTATTACAAGAACCATGGACCTCAGCAGAGGGATACCCACCAGAATCAAATCTCTTTTATATTTTTACAGCCAGCAACACCAATACAAAATGCGCAACATATGTCCGCAAACATGCCAACCTCAAACCAAAACACCACTACACATACGATAATTTCATAGTATCGATCACGGTAGAAATCCAGAACAAGAAAACCCAAATCCTAAATATATACTCCCCAGGCCGAAGTGGCCCCTTTGCCCAAATAGCAAAAACAATCCAAACCCTGGACAACTGTCTAGTAATGGGAGACTTCAACTGCCATCATCAAATGTGGTACGGAGTAACATCACATGAATACAGGAACAACATCCGAGCAGACCGCGCCAACGGTGCACGGCTAAGACAATGGATAACCCGACAGAAACTGACCCTCCTGAATGAACCAGGCATCTTTACGCACTTCCCCAGAGACAGAGGGAAAAGGCCTACAATCATCGACCTTACATTTGTAAAAGGCCCAATTCTCGACCACAACCTACGATGGAGCACTGAACCCTATGGAGCGGGCTCAGACCACGGGAGAACCTCCGTTCACTTACACTTGGAAAAACCACCATTCGTACCAAGACGGATGTGGCGACAAACAGACTGGAAGCTATTGGAGAACCACATGTCAAACATTTCCCTCCCTGCAGAGGCATGGGAAACCAAGGAACATACGGAACAAACTGTCGACTTTTTCCTAGAACTGGTCAGGGCAACGATCAGTATAGTAACACCACTCTCGAAGGAAGGAGTAAGAGCCAACTCCTGGTGGTCAGAGGAAATGAAACAAATGAAGGCAAGGGTAAACGCGGCAGAAAGGAAGGCGAGAAATACAAAGAAACCCAACCAAGTGGAGGAGCACCGGAAAGCATGCAGAGAATGGACAGTCATGATCCGGAAAGCAAAAGCGGACCAGCGGGAAAAGACGATGAACGAGGCGAAAGGTAGTGAGGTCTGGAGAATCCTAAATGCAGGAAGGAGAAGAGACACAATCATACCAACAATACAAGGTGAAGAAACGTTTGCGGGGAAGTGTCAAGCTCTAAGAGCCCAACTTTTCCCCTCAAAACGGACGTCCCCCGACCACCCCCCCCTAAACATTAGGCCCCCCTCTTTTGACCTTAGCAACACCTTCGACATAGTCACCCCCGAAGAACTTAATAAAGCAATCGACTCCTGTCCAGTGCACTCGGCGACCGGCCCGGACGGCATCCCCTATACCTTTATTAAAGCAATAGTGAGAGCAAACTGTTACGGGCATGCCAAGCATTTATGAGAAAAGGCTAGTAGCTACCCCAATACCCTCTGCACGCTAACGTCAACTCTGGACCGCACCCGTGGGGTGTGGTGCGACCAATATACGACCAAAACACGGAGTCATAAAAAACACGTTTTCGACCCCAATAATAACCCCCGGAGCGTCAAACCGCCGGAGGGGAGTGCTTTGGTACCGGTGGATATATGAGGGACAGCTGGAAGCAATCGGATCGAAGATCGGATCACTCGGAGCGAATCGGCGCAAGCTACCAGCCGACCGAGTACCTATCGGCGGTACCTATGGGCATGAGAGGACTCTGCTATGTGGGAAAGCGATGTGGGAAGAGGCCTGAGTAGGTAGCCTTGTCGTCTGAGACCTACGAGTAGCCGACGCTGACGATTATCCACCAGATGGCCGATGGAGAGGAAACATCGACAGGGAAACGTGCATTAGAGTGGGTAAATAGGTTGAGGGGTTTCAGCGGGTTTAGGAGTTTGGGTTACGGATTTAGGAGTTAAATGTTCTTGGTTGTTTTTCAGGGTCTCGGGCAGGCCCCGAGTGTATTCTGTATTATTAGTAGACTGGGTCCTCGAGACATAAGCGAGGGATATAAATACCGTGTCATTCACTGACTAGCCAAAACCATCATCGGCGAAATCAGAGTCTTAACAATATAAATCGTTGATACGCGAGTTACAACTTTATTTGACGATACTTTTGGAAATACTTTATTCTTTTGTGACTTCGCACTCTACCTGAACTATTACGTCGAGGACGGTCGAATACCATCCGCTAACTCTAGTGAATCTTTGTTGACAACGTAGCTCGCGGGGCCCGTATCGGATCAAGGAGAATTATACTCGACGTTGACTGAAGAGACCTTGGAGACTTCTACCTTTGTAGCTGTTAGCCGAACTCTGAGCTCTGCGTAGTGTACTCTTGTGATCTGGTACGCATCCCTCACACAAACACAACTCTGATTGAAAACATGTTCTCCGCCATGCTCCGGCACGGAGTACACCCAGTGGAATGGAAAATAGCTAAGTTTATCCCGATCCCGAAACCCGGCAAAGCAAACTATCATGAAGCAAAAGCCTATCGGCCCATCTCCCTTCTACAATGCTTCAGCAAAATCCTGGAGAAGATAGTGGCTCAGAGACTCTGCACCGCTGGAGAAATCCTAGGCACACTCTCAGCGAATCAATTTGGAGGAAGACCAACCATCTCGGCAATCGACGCCCTCCTGAGAACCTTAACATCAATACAACAAAACTTACTACTGAAAAACAGTACCGGAATCGCTCGGCGAGACAGACCAGCGATCCTAACCAATGATATCCAAGGAGCATTTAACTGCGTCGACCACCTACTCCTCGCGGAAATCATGCACCAACAAAAATTCCCTACCTACCTAACAGAATGGTGCAAGGAATTCAATACCGGCAGAAAACTACAGTTCCAATTTAACCATGAGCTAGAGGAACCACAGCCCTACGATTCTGGAGTGCCGCAAGGTAGCCCCATGTCCCCGGTACTATTCATGATCTATGCTGGAGTAATCCTGGACCCAACAAGCAGCCCGAAAGAGATGGACACCACATATATCGATGACGATGCGCTGGTGCAAATATCCAAAACACCAGGCTTCACAATCAAGTGAATGGAGGAACGAATGAGAGAGAGACTAATAAAAGCTGAGCCACTCCAAATTAAATACGACCCGGATAAATCCGACCTGATCTTCTTCCGGCCTACCACATTACCCACACAACAACCACGACTTCCGGTCAAAATTAACAATACCAATATACACCCCAAGGAGAGGCTGAAATATGTAGGAGTCTGGATAGATCCGACCCTCTCCTTCCGGCCCCACATCGAAGCAGCGATCGCAAAAGGCCTCAAAGCCCTCCACCAGATTCGATACACCGCCCGCCTGCCAGGGATAACAGTCAAGACAGTTCATCACCTAATAACACAAGGCTTCCTACCAAGCCTGCTCTACGGATCTGAGGCTTGGTGGACTGGCGCAGACCACGTCATTAGATCGCTCGAACCACTATACAACGAAGCTGCCCGGATTATCACGGGCCTACCTCGATGGACCAAGAGAGCTAAACTCCTCCGAGAAGCAGGCCTACCCCCCCTAGAACACCTCCTAACTTATCGCTCAAGAAAGTACGGAACCAGAATACTCTGCACCGAGGCAACCCACCCCAACAATGAATCCCTGATCGAGCTCCTCCCATACAGAGAAGCAAACATCAAAGGGACAGGCCTACACCGAATCGCCTCCCTCCTACTCCCATATCAAACCCCCGGAAATGCGAGAGACAAGTGGAATCAAAACAAACTACTACGCGACCACCTGTTGGAAGAATGGAACACACAATCAATACCGAACTACCACCATCGGGGGGAATTCCGCCCCCCTCCCAAGATAGCGAAACTCACCCTTACGGAAGTAAAAAAAGTATTTCGAATCCGGTGTCAAACCACCCGAATTGACAAACACGCAGTACATACAGACCCCGAGCCATGCCAGTGTGGTATGGAAAACTCAGCGAAACATATACTTATGGAATGCCCAGCCTGGGCTCGAATCCGCACCCCTCTGATAGAGAAGATCCCCGGAGCGATGACCTGGGAAAACTGGATGTTTACAAACCTGAGAACGGACCTCATCCTACAATTTGCAAAACAATCTCAACTCTCGAAATGGTATGAGTCGGCGGAGGCGGAGGCGGACCTGGAAGAGGGGATGGAAGAAAATGATTAGGGACGGGACTAGGAAGGGCAGGTTCCTTTTACTCTTTAAATTTTGTTTTTACCTTTTGTTTTGATAGATCCAGCGCTCGAGTCCGCTGAGATATGTTATTTCTCCTTGTCGTTGGGTTTTCTGGTTGAGTGTCGTTCTGGAATTTCCTTGTTATTGTCTGTGTTTGTTTGTGTTCGCTTTGTTGTTGTTTGTTTGCGTTTGCGTTTTTTGTTTTTTTCTTTTCTTTCTTTTGTTCGGTTCGTGTTTTAGGCGGTTGGGTCGGCGTGCGATAAGTCTTGTACTTCAAAGCAATATAAGTTTCTTCTTCTTCTTCTGTATTCTACTCGCTCGCCTCTGGCTCGCGATAGGATTTCTTTCCCCCCGAGATGGAGTTATACTGATTCTCGAATTGCTTCGGTCCCTGAACTTCCCTCGCTCGACACCCCCCTTCTTTGTTCGTTCGGTGCCCTCACGGGTCGCGTCCACCGTTCACCCCTCGCCAAAATAACGGCTACTTTCGAAAGCCGTCTTCGCCCCTCCTTATTTTCACTCATCGCACGAGTGATCCCACACGTCGGGTACGCACCCTGTCAGTAATCTCCAGTCAGCGAGAACCTACTGCCAAAGCGCTCGACAGCCCGCGAAGTTAGCGACCTCTCGGTCGCGAAACTATCGTCAAATTTTTATCCGAGGTCCCGTGACCTTACCCCTCTCTATCGGCCTTAACCAGGCAACCCATTCTTAACCGAGGCGGCCCGTTCCCCTCACCCCAACCCAACCGGTCTCTGAGACCACCCCTCAACACAATACGGTCGGCACTTTCGATTGCGACCCCCATACATACTGAGCCTTCGGCTCACCCCTTTTGCATGTCCCCTCCAGAGGACACCACTTTAACTACGACTCGGGCACAGTCTTTAGCCGTTGCTCCAGGGACCGACGACCCCACCCATTCTTATCTGACCTATTGGTCACCACTCCTCAATTCCTCGCTGCCTAACAACCAGATGCCCGAGGACCCATACTCGATCTACCCCCCCTCGCTTTCACACCTGACGCTGTTGCGGTTGGCCTTTCCTGCCTTCGTGCACGTGGTTTCCCAGTCCTGTTAAGGTTCGTCCACAGATATGACACCGGGAACGTTGGTAATGATACCGTTTCGGTTGAACACCATGTATAGGATTGTGCTCGCTAATGTAGTTGACGGAGAAGTTTGGGGTTTTATTCTTACTACGGGGAGGTTTCTTTGTTGTCGCTTAGATTCTGCTTACCTGTACCACTTGTTATTTGCGCCCTCTTCGTGCTCTGTTTTTGTTTTATTATGTACGCAGTTCTTGTAGCTGCGGTAGTTAGTGTTTGTACTTCGTTTTTGCTTTCGGGTTAGTCGGTGGAGGTTGTAGTCGGGTAGTTAGGTGTGCGATAAGCTTCGGCTTCTATGCAATATAACATTCTCTCTCTCTCTCTGTATTTATTGCACCAATACTACTTTTGTTCTACGCTACGTCATAGGGCTCGTCTTGGATCTTGGATCAGGATTGAACCACCTCATAGTCCATAGTTACGAATATCCTCTACTACGTTCTTGCCTCGGTTGTATTCCTTGGCACTATAGTCTCTCGTCCATAGACCCACGTTATAAACCCAGACCCAACTACAGGAGGCGGAGCGACAACTGAGGATGGTGAGAGAAGAGCGGGAGCAGGAAAAAGGGGAGCAACGAGCTTTGTTTGCGCAATTCAAGCGGTCCGATGAGGAAAGAAACCAACGGATAGCCGAGATGGAGGAACTACTGCGACAACATCTGTCAGTAGCACCTTCCGTGGCTAGTGCTCCTTTAGACCCTGATGCACCCCGAACGGTTCCTGTTGGCAATGGCAAGAACCCCCAAAATGCTGGCCCCCAAACATCAGGGAACGGCAAGCAACCAGAAGGAGCTGGCCCAGTTGGAGGAAACGGAGGCAAGCAACCGGAGGATGCCAGCCCAGTGCAGGGAAATAGTGGCAGAAGACCGGTAGGAGCTGCTCCAGTAGGAGGGAATGGTGGAAATCTACCTCCCCGAAACCCACCAAGAGGAAACCTTGGGGGAGACCCAGAACCTTCCGACGATGATGATGACGATAACAGCGAATGGTCGCATGGTCGGAAGAATTGGAGAATGAACCGAGGCGGGAACCGGAATTCGGCGCCGCCTGAAGACGAGGATATGGTAGATTCGCTCGCCAAAATACCCTTTGAGTTCGATAATGCCAGGAAGCATAACCTGCGGCATTGGCTCATGGAGTGTGAGATCTACTTCGAGCAGAAGCCAAAGAAGTTCCGAACGGACAGAAACAAGGTACTGTTCGCTGGAACATATACGTGTGGGTTGGCAAAGGAATGGTTCATGGAGTATATCGAGACCAAAATGTTGGGCCCGGCCGGTGCAGACTACGTGTAACGGAGCCATTTCAACTGTCTGGTGTATGAGTACACACAGGGCCCGGTTACATGCTGAGAGTTATTGTTAGAAGCCAGTTGCACGGTGATATGCAAGTACCGGCAGTGTGGTTAGCTACCAGCTGTTAGAGTAACTACATTCCGGGCGCTAGGAAGAGGATCTATTCATGGGAGCAATGACTGACGAGTCTATGCCTCGCCAGTGACTAGAAGACCGGCCAGAGTGAAGCTCTGATTGACCGGTGATCCTCTGTATCCTCGGTGCATTGTAAGTCTGCCGAAGGGCAGGGACTATGCTAGGGAAGTCTACAATAAGCGAAAGCTCTACAGCAATGATTAAGCTTACACCTGAGCGGCAGCTCATTCATGCAGGTCCTCAGTTGTGTGGCAACCAAGGCTGCAGGTGTTACAAAGGCTTTGACTAAGGGTGGTTGCCTTGGGTATCGGAAACACCTGCTGACGCTTAGAGAAAAGCGGGGTAGCGGTGGTATTGTTTCCGGTACTGAGGGAAGGCCCACCGGAACTTAGTAAAGGAGTTAGGAGCAGAGAACAGAGGCCTTCGGAGTATAAGTACTCAGGTTCATTCCCGCCCTTCAGTCCTATTCTCTCCAGTCTTCATCAGAAAGAAAAACCAAGTTCTTATCGGTAGCAGAGCCCTTAAAGATTATTGAGTTCTAGCGATAGTATCTTTGAATAATCTGCAACCTGATTGTCTATCTTGCACGGCCGTCTCTATTCTATCTTATTCTATTTCTCTTAGAAGAGACCCCCGTTACAGATAATCTTTAAGGCTCAAATCACCTTCAGATTATTCTTCCTCTATACAAAATGTCCGCCCTCTCGGCTCCAGATGCACTCCTTCAGATTGAATGGCAGCCGGTGCCCCTCCAACTGGATGCCACCGGGCAGACACAGCTTGTCAAAAAACCCAGGACCGCTCTACAGACCTACATTCCTGGCTGTGAGCCTGCCTGGCAGGATACCGATGAGATCTCCGTCCAACAGTTCTTCACAGAGCTCCAGACCTACCTCCAACACAGCCTGCAGAATCAGTTGACCCGGGGCAGTCAGGCCCTACTCATTGTACAAGAGCGCCAGGCAGCACAGAATGCTCTGATGGCAGAGGCTCTTGAGTACATGAGGAGGGAGGTCAACTCTGTTCAGGAAGAACTTCGGAAGTATGTGGAGAGGGATGAGCTGAATGCCGATGCCATGGAGATTGAGTGGACAAACCCGGCTACTCCACCAGACTTTGTTGCCGAGATACAGAGAGCCCTTGATGAAGGAAGACTGGTGGTGGGTAGACCAGCAACTCCGGCACCAAATCCAGGCTCTAGGTCCTCGTCCAGGGCAGCCACCAGAACAATGCAGCGGAAGACCAGTCCCTTCGCAGCATTTCCGGTCCGATCCACTAGGAGAGTTATCCCTATTGTGCAGCCAGCGGTGGGGGCTTCACCCTTACCACCTAGCCGCTTCGGTGGAACACACCCACTCCTTGGAGGAGCTGACCGATCCTTTGACTATGAAGGAGAGTTCTTCTCAGGTACCGGCCGAGGACCTCCCAGTCCGCTAGCCAGGAACCCGGGAAGGTTCACCATGTCTGGGGCCGCTCAACCAGCAGCAACCTCACCACTGGCCAGCAATCCGGCACCAGTAGCACCTGTGGCCTCTTCTGCTGCGGCCACCGCTCCCCCTCCAGCCAATGCACAGGGTGGAAGCGGTGGAAGCCAGAACCCTCCAGCCAATGCACAGGGTGGAAGTGGTGGAAATCAGAACCCTCCACCTCCCGTGGCCCGCGCCCCCGCTCCTGGGGATTCAGACAGTTCTGACAGCTCAGACTCGGAACCAGAAGGTGGTAACAGGAGAGGATGGCGGAGATACCTTAAGAAGAAGTTGGAGAAGCAACAGAAGAATCTGTTGGCAATGATGTCCCAGCAGTATCAACCTCCGGCTACCTCCCACCCTTCTACTTCCACCAGAGCCCGGGAACCAAAGGCACCACCACCATCAAAGTTCCAAGGCAAGGCGGAGCAAGTGGAAACCTTCATCCGGCAATGTGAGAATGTGTTCTCCATTGAGAGCCTGTCATTTACCTCTGAGGAGATTAAGATCCGATATGCAGGCAACTTGATGGAAGGGGAGGCAGCGATCCGATGGTATGAGGCATACCACAATTCAATTGATCAAGCCTCCGCCAACCGCCTTGCTGGAATACCGGTGCAGTTGGATCAGAGATGGAAGCGCTGGGATTCCTTCGTGGATGCTTTTAGAGCTGCCTTCGGTGAAGCCATCTCTAGAGATGATGCTGTAGCCCAATGGAATACCCTCACCCACACAGCTCGAGGAGGAATAGACCTCTTCCTGAATACTATTATTCAGCTGATGTGGAAGACTGGCTATGAGGGTCAGTTGGTGGATGATAAGATCCATAACTCCCTCCTCCCGGACCTAGGCATGAGTTGGGCTCTTTTCAACCCCAAGCCAAAGTCCTTGATGGAGCGGATAGCTGCTCTAAGAGAGTTAGGGCATACCCATGAGAGGTACCAAGGGATGGCAGCTGAGAAAGCGCACCCTCGGACCAAGAAAGATCCTCCCGCTCAGAAGGACCAGCAGCCTAAGAGGAAAAGAGAAGCTGCGAGCTCCTCCGGACCTCAGAAGACTGCAGGACCTAAAGACAAAGCGGTGGAACTGAAGGGTATCCCGGGGGATATTCTAGAAGAAAGAAGGAAAGCAGAAGTATGCTTGAAGGTATGACCTTCCGGTACTCCCTATTGGTAGAGTGCATAGACTGACTTGTGCAATAGTGCGGCAAGTCCAGACACAAATGGACCGATTGTTGGTCCAAGGAACCTACTGTTGTCCGAGTGGCAGCAGTGAGAGTACAAAAACGGAAAAGAGGGAATGGCAAATCCAACTCTCAGAAGAAGGCTAAAGTGGCTGCTGTAGTAGCAGAAGATCCACTTGTTGTACTCCCGGAGGTTACAGAAGATTTTGTTTTTCAGCCTGAGCAAGACTCGGACAATGAAATCATCTGGTAGAAAAAGTGTCTGTTTTAGTCTATGTTTACTAGTTTTCTTTTATATGGGTTTTTGGTTTCTATGTTTCTCTTGAATAAATTATGATTGTGTTTCCGCCTATTTGATTGCTCCAAGCACTCTGAGGATGGGTTTAAGACCCGAAACAGCTGGTCTGTCAGTGCTCTACCAAAGTTACATTTTGCTACCAAGACACTTCCAAACCGCTGCTAAAAAAGACCACTACACAATATATCTGCTATATTACCGCTTGGGAATAGAACCAAAGGATCTCTGATCTTAGTAGTGCCCGAAGTTATTAGCTATGTTGAAAAGACAAAGAGAAACAAGTTCAGAACCCGCTGTTAAGCAAAGAAGGTTGGAACAGAGGCTTCCCTCCTTACCAGTACATGGAAAAAGACCTATACTAAAGGCAGGACTGTCATGGACGGTCAAAGGAAAGGATGAAGGCGCCCAAGGGTCTTTTCTGTTTGACACCGGTTGTACAGGAGCTATCCTCAACCAGAGTTTTGTCAGGAAACATGGAATTCCCTTAGTGCGGCGGGATCAACCTCTGACAATGTTTGATGCTCAAGGAGATGTCATGATGGGAGGAGGCGAGTATTACACTCACCCGGTCCGCATGACTATGGGAGATCATAAAGAGACACTCCGATGGGAGGTGGCTACACTGGAAGAAGGAATGACCGGTTACCTGCCAATTAGTTGGGCTAGGAAGCATAACCCGGACATCAACTGGGAACTCAACACCATGAGCTGGAGGAGTGACTACTGCAAGCAGAATTGTCTCCCAGCGGCCACCAAGATTGAACTGATCTCTCCATACCAAATGTTGGAAGAAGAAGAGACAGTCTATCAATTGGTTGGTTCAGTATGGCATGATGAGGACGGAGGTGATATTGCTGAGAAAATACACCACCTATACCGGGATTGGGCTGATGTGTTCAGTCAAGAGAAGATTGAGGAAATGCCGCCGCATTCCCATAATGATCTGAAGATCAAACTCTTGCCTGGGACCGCTCCCCCATTTGGCCCGCTATACCCATGCTCCGCTCCAGAGTTGAAGGCCCTCCGAGAGTACCTGGACAAAGAGTTGTCTTCAGGAAAGATCTCTAGATCGAATAGCCCTGCTGCGGCACCCATACTGTTCATTCCTAAGAAGGACGGGACTTTGCGGATTTGTGTGGATTATAGAGGTTTGAACAAGGTCACTGTCAAGGACAAGTACCCGCTGCCTATCATGAGTGAGCTCAGAGACAGGTTGTTCAAGGCCAAGATCTTCACAAAGATAGACCTGAAGAATGGCTTCAATTTGATCAGGATAGCCGAAGGTGATGAGTGGAAAACCGCTTTCAGAACCCGCTATGGACTGTATCAGTACAATGTGATGCCATTTGGCCTATGCAATGCTCCCTCCGCTTTCCAGGCAATGATCAATGATGTGCTAAAGGAACTACTGGATGAAGGAGTAGTTATCTATATCGATGACATCCTCATCTACTCGGAGACTGAGAAAGAGCATGAGCTATTGGTCAAGAAGGTACTACAGAAGCTTAGGGAAGCTAAGCTCTGTGCCTCGATCAATAAGACATCCTTCCATGTCCGAGAAGTAGAATACCTAGGCTATCATATCTCGGAACAAGGAGTATCTATGTCAGAAGACAAGGTGGAGGCAGTTAAGGAATGGCCGGTCCCTGAGAATATCAAGGCAGTACAGGCATTCCTCGGATTTGCAAACTTCTATCGCCGCTTTATTGAAGGCTTCAGTAAGGTTTGCAAACCACTAACTGACCTCCTGCAAAAAGACAAGAAATGGTATTGGACAGCAGCACATGAGCAGGCCTTTGAAGAACTCAAGAGGCTGTTCACAAGCGCTCCAATCCTCCTTCATTTTGACCCTAGTAGGAGAACGGTGGTCGAGACAGATGCCAGTGATTTTGCCAAGGGAGCGGTGCTCTCTCAGTAT